AATTAGACGGCGGTGACTAAAAACCACTGAATCACATGCTTCCCATGGGCAAAGTTTATGGTATGTAAATTACACCTTAATAAAGTCATTTTTAAAACATTCTGAAGTAAAAAATCAGGAGACTTTTCCATAAAAATCCAGATTCTGGCTCTCCTTGAATGCCAGGCATGTTTCTCCATGGCAACGATGAGCTGTCCCCGAGTCTACCAGAGTCCCCACACTGCCTGCTGTATCACACCTGGGCAGCTTTGGTGTCATCTGCATGGACCGTGTGGGTGTTGAACTCGAGACCAAAATGACCACAGGTGCCAAAGTTGCCAGCCCCGGTCTCATGTCTGTCCCTAGACACACAGAGCCCTGGACCAGGAGGGTTGTGTGCGCGGGCAGTGGATGCACAGCGTGGTACACTGACTGCTCCAGGGATTTCAAAGCACATGAGCTTTGAAGCCAGAATCGCCGCCGACCAGCTCCGAGCACCTCGGTTTTCTAAACTACAGAATGGGGACAATCACAGCAGCCACCATCACAGGGCTAAACTGAGGTGCTGTGCCCAGCATACAGTTGGTGCTCAATAAATGTGAGCAATTTCTTGTCCGCAGTCTCCAATTCCAGGACATTCTGAAATCCATACGCTTTTTTCATGATTCATTTGGACACAAAAACCGGACTTGGCCGAAACTCCTAGAGAGCAAGGCCTGAGCCAACAGATGTGAGGCCACTTGTCACCTCTCGTGACACCCCTGGTGTGCTCATGCAGGTTTTCCTGCAGGAATAGGAATATGTCAGCTTCCAGGGTGCACCAGTCTGGGGGAGTATGTCACCATCCAGAATCCGGAAACTTCTGAATTCTGGAACACTCCTAGCCCCGGGGGTTTCAGACCCCTGACCCAACCCTCTTTGCCTGACTGACTACATACGTCATTGTGGCACAGCCCCAGCAAAGACAGTGGGGACAGAGGCCTGGAGATTTCTGAAGACAAATCCAGAGCCCAGGGGGATGGACACTAGGATTAAGATGGAGACTCTGCAGGAAAGGGCTGGCCTGTCCCCGGCACACCTGGTTTGGGGTTGGGCTCAGCACTGGCCTCCTTCACTTTGGGATCTGGAAAGATTCCGCTGAGTCTGTGGGCACCTGAGGGGCTGGAAGAAGCTGGTGCAGAGGGCGACACCTGTAGCATCCAGAGCTTACAGGGACACCCCAGGGGACCTGGCCAAGCGGCCCCAGCCCTCGTGCAAATTAAGACTTTGGTCCCAGATTAGGGAAGATCAGTCCTGGCCCCTCCCTCCCTCAAATGTTATCAATGGCTCCCATCTGCCCAAAGAAAACACAGCTGGGAGCAGAGGACAGCTCAGAGGCCCAGCTAGGCCACCAGTTGAATAAGAAAGAATTTGACTGGCTGTTGTCCCCGGTTCCTGGAAGGGAACTCTAATCTGTTATCCACCAGCCCCTTGGAGCACGCCCCTGGGAGTTTATGCTAATGAGATGCTAATGAGATCACCCTATAAGAAGTTTGGGGCTTTGCACCAGCCTGACCCAGGGGAGGGCCCTAGAGACGGCCATCAACCAGGTGGCCAAGGTTTCCACCCACCAAGCCCGTGCCACCAAATCCCCATCAACACTCTGGACACCAGAGCCCAGCGGGGCTTCCTGGTTGGAGAACACGCAACGTCCCAGACACAGCTCCAAAAAGTCAACCCTGAAAACAACCTGTCCACCCGTTAATGGGCAACTTAACCCCTGAGCCACATCCCCAGCCCTTTTAAAATATTTGGAGACAGGATCTCACTGTGTTGCTAAGGGCCTCTCGATGCTGCTGAGGCTGGCCTTGAACTTGCAATCCTCCTGCCTCGGCCTCCAGAACGGCTGGGGTTACAGGTGTGTGCCACTGTGCCCAGCCGATCCGCAGCAGGGCCATCCACGGCTCCCGGTCAACTTTGTGACCACAGAGAGGATGAGCCACGCTCTGCATTGCACTGGGGGGCTGAGCCTGGAGGATGGCAGAGTCCGTGTGTTTAATGCACTTTCGACGGAGGATGTTTCCGACTTATGACGAGTGTCTGGAGGAAACCTCGCGGTGAGTTCAGGGGCATCCACACCGGCACAGATGGAGATGTCTAGCAAGGAGCAGGGGTCAGTGGATGGAATGCCACTTAAAAGGACACCTCGGGGCTGGGGTGCAGCTCAGGGACACGGCACGTGCCTGGCGTGCGCAAGGCCCTGGGTTCAATCCCAGCACCACAGGAATTTTAAAAAATGGATAAAAAGACAAAACACCAGGGCTAAGCGGGGTTCTGGCAAAACCACACAGGATTCCGGCGGAAGGCAGGCCCAGGCGTAGCGAGGATCAGGTATCAAGGGCAGGGCGCCTGCTAAACCGGACTCCCCGGGCCAAGGACAGAGTCCAAGGTCAAGACCCAGTCAACAAGGGGACTCAGGGGGGCCTGATTCCAGTGGGACAAGTGAGAGAGGCCCTGCCACAGCTCAGCAGGTGGCCTGTATGACTAACCCAGCCAAGGGCTTGATTTGGCTAATTAATCCTAATAACCAGCTGAGCAGGGGCTGTCCCCAAACTCGGCGTCCTCCTCTGTTCTAGAGCCGCTGACCTTGGGCTGCGCTGGGCCAGCAGATGGCAGGAGCCAGGCTCTCCCCGGCCGGCTTCCGCGGCTGGCTGCCGTCCACGCCTCCTGCTCCTTCCCGGACAGAAGCACTTCCCTGCCCTGGTCGCAGGCCAGAAGCTGGGTCACCCCTCTGGGGCCCTCTGCACCGGTGCCCTGCTCTCTGAGGTGTCCCTGAATCCGGCTTCCTGGCCCTGCGGGTCAGACAGCTGCCACCTCCAAGTTGGTGTCCCTTCCCCACGCCTCTCTCCCAGGCGTGAATTCCAAGTCCCTCCCCTCCGCCACGTGCCACTTTGGTCTTAATATCTCATCTGCCTGCTGCGTGCTTCTCAGTTACTGTTTTCCACGGGACTTAAAAAATGAAATCTTCCCCCTTCCGCCCGGTCGCTTTGAAGCGGGCTGGAGGGGGGCTTCATCCCAGCTCCACAATGAGCCAGCTGTGTGACCCCGGGCAAGTCAATTAACCTCCCTGAGCCCTGGATTGTTTATCTGCGTGGAATTATGGAGACAATCTTATTTAGTGGAGCAGCCAGACTCTCCACTGGGAGGAAAAGTGGATTTCAAAAAATTTTTTGAGGGTTGAAAACTTTGGTAAACCTTTGGAGGATGAGGGACGGGTCTCTGTCTCCTCGGCCACCAGGACCTTCTGTAGAACTGAGCCTGCGATGGTCCTGGGCTACAACCATGGTTCGTGACTGGAGTCACCAGGTTGAGGGGGAAGGCTGGGTGCTTGGGACCACCAAGAGGGTTCTTTGAAGAAGAGATGAAGGGGGTGACCGAGGGCCAGGATGCTCCACGCACAGCATGCAGACCTGCTCAAAGTGGACTAGTGGTCCTTCCCCTCCTGACCACATCGCCCCTTGCTCTGAATTCCTCAATGGCTCCCTATTGCGGGCCTGGTGAAATCTGAAGATCTCTGCGAAGCGTCAAGGCCCTCCCTCGGCTCTCAGTGCCATCTCTCAACAGCCCTCTTCCTACCCCCTACCTTCCTGTCTTTCTGAACTTCCTACAGGAAACTCCCAGACTCTGCCCCCCACCAGGCTGGGCCATGCCGCTGCCTCTAAGTTGCCCACGGAGTGGACTCTGCCTGCCCCTCCAGGCCTCGGCTCAAAGGCTGCCTTCCTCAGGCCCCACCCTGCCTGTCCCCACGCCCTGGGCAGAGGTCGGGTGGGCACCACACCAGGGGTTGCCAAGGTCCACACGCCAAGTCGTCACCATCTGAGCCCGTCCCTCTGCAGGACGGCAGCCTTCACGAGGCCTGAGCCTTCCTCCTCCTACTCCCTCCACCTCCCCGCACAGTGGCCGTGTGCAGCAGGCGGTCAATAAATGCTGAGCACATGAGAAACAGGTTCTCAGCCTCCAGGAGCTGGGAAGGAGCGGGCGGGACCCCCGGTCATTATGTTGCGGTGGAGATTCAGGCCACACGCGGCTCCTCAGCGGGATGGAGGGCCACCAGGCCACATGTCACTGTGCATCCTGGAACCAGCGCTCAGGGGCACCTTTGATTCCCTCTGACACACTCTCCACCTAGGGGTCACCCCAGGCCCTGGGCTGCAGGCTACCGGATCCAGGGGCCTTTTCTTGGCGCCCTGTGGCTGCACTTCTCTGAGTGGCACGATGCTGGTGACTGTCCCCTCCTTCCTGAAACCCTCGAAATCTTTGCCTCTGAGGTCTTTTCCCGCAGTCTCTGACCCCCCACACCCCCCCTCTAGCTTCTGTGTGTTTGACCGTCTGCGTCCTACTCAGCATCTCCCGGGGGAAGGAAGGGTCAAAGGCCAATGAACTGAGGCGGAGGAGTGATGTGGGTGTCCTCCACCCCAGTGAGCGCCCTCTTCTTCTTCTTTTTATTTTTGTACCAGAGATTGAACCCAGAGCCGCTTTACCACCGAGCCACACCCCCAGGCCTTTTTTAACATTTTATTATTATTATTATTTTTTTTTTTTAATTTTGAGACAGGGTCTCGCTAAGTTGCTGAGGCTGGCCTCCAACTTGTGGTCCTCCCGCTCGAGCCTCCCACATCGCTGGGATTACAGGCGTGCCTCGCTGGGCCTGGCCCTTCTTCTTTTTCTAATTGGTGTGCGCACACAAGGGTGCCTCACGCATCCTGGGCAAATGCTCTACCACTGAGCCATAACCCCCGCCCCACAAAAGCCACCACGACCCACCCATTCTATGAAGCCACCCTCTGCGCCTGCGCCCTGGATCCGCCCATCACCAAGCTGTCAGGCTCCGAGGGGCGGGGCTGGGGGCGGGGCTCCTGGAGCCCCAGGGCTCCGCCCAGCTCGCTGCGCAGGACGGACACGCCCCTCAGCGTGGGTCCCGGGGCTGCGCTCCCTGCGGGCCGCTGGCTGCCCGCCCCGCCCCTGGCCGCGACCAGTCCTACCTGAGAGCACCGTGAAGACGGCGGCGAAGGCGTTGAGCTTGAGCCCGTCGATGACGCTGCTCGAGTGGAAGAGCTCGAGGCACATGAGGCTGAAGCCGACCACCAGCAGGAGGATGTAGAGCACCTCGGAGACCACCGACAGCCACAGCACCCCTGCGGAGGACAGCAGAGGCCCCGGTGAGGGCCGGCTCCCCGACGGTCCCCGCGGATGGAGGGACCCGCCGCGCCGCCCTCTCCAGGGACTGGATGGGAACCCAGCAAAGCCAGCCGGGGTGTGGCTGCCCCCGCTGACCGCTACTGGCCAGGGCAGGGTGCGACCCACCAAGGGCCTCTCTCCTTTATCCCCGGGCTGCGTGGCTCGGGTGGGGCCAGGGCTGAGCTGCAGAGGTGCGAGCAGATGGCCTCCCTGGGGGGCTTTGTCTGCAGGCTGACCAAGTTCCCCGGTGCTGACCAGAGGGCATAGGGTTCTCTGTCACCTGCGGCCCTAAGAATCCCGAGTCACATCCACACATCATGCTGCCCTCCAGGGACACCTACACCTTGACCTGCCCTGTGTCCTTCCTGCTTTTTTCTAGAAGTCACCCCTGCTATTCCCGTGACTTCAACCTGGTAATTCTCCCAGCTATTATGTCCCGTCCTCCCAGATGCAGCCGATTGGTCCAGTCTGATCATCGGACCCAGAACGGACCAATCAAAGCCCTTCTCTAGGAATCTGAGCAGGGAGCCACAGAGACAGACCAGGAGAAAAGAGCTCAGAAGAGAGTCAGAGCAGGTGAGCGCCTGGATCCAGCCATTCCTGAAGGCCAGCTCCACTCTGGGCCTTCTAGTGGTTTAGCTATTCAAATTTTGTCTTCCCCAAGACAGCATGGCTTCCTTTCCCCCACAGGGCTGCTTAGTTTAGGGGGCATCTGCTGTTCCTCTACCCCACATTCTTCCCTTTTCTTCCTACATCCTTTCTTCCAGTCTTGGTGGTTGAGTTGCTGCTAACCCACATCTTGGCTCCAAGTTTGGGGCACAGGGCTCTTAACTAGCTCCATGTCTCTCAATCTGCAGTTTGAGCTCAGGAATGACTCTCCCTCTGAGCCTCAATTTCTTTGTCTATGAAATGGGTATTTATTTGTATTCCAAGATCCCAGGATCAGCACGCAGGGAAGGCTTGCATCCTGTGTATTATTACAGTGGTCCTATGGGAGAACATGGTGGGGACACGGCCAGTGGGTGGGACATGGAGCTCAGGAACCCTTGACCGAGGGAGATGGAGACCCACAGACAGATTCAAGAGTGAGGAATGAAGCCCATGATTTCTGAGGATCGGGGGGAGACGAGGAGAGGGAACTGTAGCCACACCTGTGTAGCTGACTCTGCAAGCCCCACTAGCCGGGGGTTCAAGCAAGACCCAGGCTTTAGAAAAGGGACAGGGACCAGGCCTGACTGGTCAGAGATGGCCCCGTGACTCAAGTCAGTTTCATGAGCCTGGGCTACAGGACTTTTGCAGGATCTCGCAGGAAAGAGACGCCCTTTCTTTCTGCCAGGTTGGAGGTTGGAAGGATGGAACCAGCTGAACTGTGTGGGAGCAGAACCTTCCTGAAGGTGAGGTGGATGTCAAGCTGAGACAGGGCGGGAGAGTGTATCCCGATGACGCTGTCTGGTGCCCGCGATCCAGCCAGGCCCAGGTAAGCTTGAGGGAGGACTCACATCACTTCCCATTGCTGTCCTCTGAAACCGTCCTGTGTGTGTTCTTTCCGACCTCTGCGGCTCCCCGTGGTGCCCCCTCCCATGTGAAAACGTCCCAGGGAGCACCCAATGGATCCTGTTTACGAAATGAAGCAAACAAACAGCTAATTCTGGGCCCCCATCTGTTTGCTAAAGAAAAATCCAGATTCTGAAACACCCACTATCCTTTCGAACAAATGGGGCTTTCAGAGTTTGGGGAGAACTTTTCTCTTTCTCTTTCTCGTTTTGCTACAAAAATATCGCGTCTCCTGAGCAATCCCTTGGATTTCTGAGAGAGAATAGTGCGCTCTTGGCAGCCGGGCGCTGTTGGAACACTCCCTGGCACGGGTGCGCAGCTCCGGGGCCCTCGGCTGGCCCAGCGCCCACCAGGCAGCAGGAGGGAGGCAGGGAAGCGAGGGGAGCCGGGCCGTGCCAGGAAGCTGGCTGCCCAGGACGGGTGACAGCCCCGACTCGGGAGCCTCCCGGGGGGCCTTGTCCCAACCCACATTGGCCCTGGGCCAGGCGTCCCTCCCACGTGCACGCACAGTAGGGCCCTGCTCTGCTCTTTCAGATGGGAGGAGGGGGTGGGTGCCACCTGGGGGGGGTGCAGCCCAGGGACAGCAGGAGCCCAGGGTGGCCATGTGGCCTCTTTCGCCCACTAGCTCCTCTCTGAGATGGGCAGTGAGCCCGGCCCTGTCACAGGCCGGCCAGGATCGGGTTCCTCAGTCCTGCTGCCTGGCTAGATCCGTTCCTGTGCCTTCTGACCGCTGCAGGCTGGAGCATGTTTGAAAGTCCCCCACCCCTGTCCCCAAGCCACCGAGCATTGCGAGGACAGCAGCTATGATGATCATCACCGGGTTTCTGCTGAGAGCAGCAGCCAGGGTCACAGTACGGCTTGACAGTTAGGAGGTGATCGTGACGTGCCTGGTCCCCGTGACCAATGCTCATGACCCATCTCCTGGACACTCTTTTCAGTGTTTTTAGTCTTTGGAGAATTATTTTGGGGCGATGGGACCCCACTTTGCCCATCTTGGCTCCGAAAGTGCCTGGGAACTTACATGTCCCTCTCTGGGCGGTCATCAACCTGCGTGTGACCAGTGGGGCCCCGTCCTGGGGCTCTAGCTGGGGCAACTCTGAGGTGACCCACACTGTAGGGAGGACCTGGCCATTGTCCACCTTAATTCCCTTTTGTCCCTCCAACCCGTTCTGAGTCATTTCCCTTCCCTGGCTTATCTCAAGTTCCAGAATCAGCGAGCCCCGCAGGCTGATCACCGGGCAGGGGACCGAAACTGTCCCCTTAGCAGTGATGTCTTCCTGGCACGCGTAGGACCCTGCCGACGCAGACCGAGGGGACAGTCCAGCAGACCACAGTTTGACCAGGACGTCTCGATGACACATTTCTTGCTCCACCTGCTCTAGTTCTTTCCCTGGGCAACTCTGGAGCTGGGCAGGTCCCCTGCCTCCTCCCAGTGTGGCCACAGCGAATGAACTAGGTTCTGGAGCCAGGCCTCTGTCCCCAGGGGCTATGCAAGCCTGGCTGGTGCCAGGGAGATGGTTATTGTCTGGTTCCCACCATGAACCACCTCCCTCCGGTCCCCAGCTCCCTCCCAGTGTCCCCTGGCAGCAAAGACCTGGATGCAAACCCTGATGCTGGGGAGGCGGGCTTGACTTGGGCGCACAGGCCAGTGAGGCCCTCTGAAGGGTCTCTGCAGGGGGACAGCTGAGAAGGGACAGAGGAACCTGGTGACGGGGAGCCCTGCCAGGGTCTCTAGCCGCTCCCTGCCCTCAAGATGACGGGGACGGGCTGTGGCCACGATAAAGTTGAACACAAGCGGTTGAACCCGAAGACCCCGCGGGTGTTGTCCCGCAGCCGTGGACAGGCTCTGGGAGGTGTTTGCTGATGTGGACGGCGATGGCGGCTGGAGGCTGGGAGCCAGTCGGGTGCCTCTGAGAGGCCCGTGGGGCACTAGAGGGCAGCTGGGGGAGGGACCCAAGGGGACAGCATTACTAAAAGGGAGGGGCCGGGGGCCACGGAGGTCCAGCAGATGCCACGGGGAGGCCCGGCTGCCCACAGCCCCTGGGGTGCGCCACCACTTTTCAGCCCCTGCATTGCTCTGCCCAGGGATGCCCTGGCCACCAGTGCCCACTGTGCGCACCACGAGGGCTCCGTGTCGCACTGAGGTGGTGCCCAAGTCCCTGAGGTGGGTCCTACTGGGACGCAGTCAGCACCTGTGTCTTCCCACAGATGGTTTAATGCTGAGTCGCGACATAAAATTGTCACAGCCAAACAGCGAAGGAGCCAGTCACTCCGGCCATGTCTGAACCTCTTCTTTCCTCCGTGGGAAGGGGCGTGTGGTGCTGTGTGTCCCCCACACCTTCTGACACTTGGGCATGATTTTGAAGCCGAGCGTGGGCCCCCGGCTCAGAACCTTCCTGGCCAGTCAGTGTGACCGTGTGAGCCACCTCCTGGGCTGAGGTCCTCCGGCACCCCACCCCGGCACCCCTCTCTGTGTGCAGCCTGCTCTGTGCCCAGGGCGCTGACCTGCCCATCTCCCTGCTGCTGGGTGGGAGAAGCCCGGCTCACCCTCCCGGAGCATCCCTGGTTGGACTTTGTCCTCCTGCCTGTGACTTCCACTCCCGGGGTCCCCCTCCCCAGGTCGGGGCTCACTGGCTCTAGATCACTGCCCCCACCCCTCCCCGCCTGCCTCGGGGAGTAGCAGCTCCCCACTGTTGGACTTGGGGGCCCGATTCCCAGCCCTGCCCTTCCTCGGTTTATCAGCCGCCTCCATTCCAGCCACCCGGGCTGGGTCCCCCCCGACTCATCTCGTGTCACTGCAATAAATCCCCGTCCCCTGATGGAGCAGGATCCAGGCCAGCGCTCCAGGGTTGCTCCCGACCGGCAGCCTCAGGGTCGCCAGGAGATGGTGGTGCAATGTCGGGGACTTCACCCACCGGGGACCTGCTGGAGGAGGGTCTCGGTGACGGAGCCCCTGCTGCGTCCTAAAGCCCCCATCCCGCCCCCCGCGGTGGGGACACGAGCTCTGATCCGAGACCCACTAACCTAAGGCTCTTTTTAAAGCGGACGGCGCATGCGTGAACGCAGAGATGGGAAGGGACACCCCAGGGCCCGCGGCAGGGATATGGGAAGGGACACAGGGCCCGCGGCTCATTGGAGGCTCATCGCCGTGGCCATGCGGGGCAGAGGTTCCATAATCACAGAGATGATTGTCCCCAGCCTCCAAAACCTGCTACTAATGGCTCGATTTGCAGAGGAGAATGGGTGACCTCCGGGGGCAGAAGGAGTGAAGTGATCTGTCACCAGGGGCAGGGCCCGTGGGTGACAGCCCGCCCTGCTGCCTGCACTTCTTGCCTTTTTAAAAAAATGGCCTGGGAGCCCAGGAGCCCAGGAGGCCAGCTCTGGTGGAGTTGATGGGTTTATG